TGAAGGAGGTTTCGGCTCCGTGTATGAGGGGATTCGCATACAGGATGGTCTGCAGGTATTCATTTTTGTAGACTCAAATCCTCTGATGAAGTTCCCTGTTTAAAGAACATCATCAGAGCTTTCATTGTTTGGACATTTCTGCTGACGAATGAATCCTCTGTTCAGGATTTATGACTGAATGAAATGATCTCCGTGCACATGTTAATTGTTCGCTTGTTCCTTTAAACAGGTGGCAGTTAAATTTGTCCAGAAGACCCCAAATATGCAAGATGTCAGCTCTGTGAGTAGACTACACTTTCTGTTCGCTGTGTTCAGTTTATAAAGTCTTATATTTATTATAGACCACAGGCTGTGGTCAGAAACCCTTGTTTGAAAACCAACATTATTATTTTGTTTTCAGTCATGTGACCAGCCACTTCCTCTAGAGATCACCTTGGCAAACATGGCCAGCGGTGGCTCCAGGTGTTCGAACATTATTCAGCTTCTGGACTGGCAGATCTTTAAAAACCATTACGTCATGGTGATGGAGCGGCCTAGTCCAAGCATGGACCTGGAGGCATTCCTTGAAGTCAGCGGAGGTGTCCTCAGTGAGAAAACAGCACATACCATCATGAGGCAAGCTGTTTATGCGGCCAACGTGTGCTGTTACCGCGGGGTGTTCCACCGGGACATTAAGCTTCAAAACCTGCTGGTGAACCCCGACACACTGGAAGTCAAGCTGATCGACTTCGGGTGTGGAGACTTCATGATGGAATCAGCCTACAGTATCTTCTCTGGTAGGTGTTTTGAATAGTGTGGTCAAAAGTATCGACTTCGGTACCAATCGATTCTGACATTTAACAAGTCAATTTGAGCGCTGTTAAACACCACTGATTGGCCATTGGTGTTCACATGCTCAGCAAATATGACTGTGATGAGTGTCGGTATCGATTGGTAGTTGATACTTTTGACATCACTAGTTATGAATGTGCATAAGCATTTTTAATAAACGTATTGAAAGCTGATTAATTAGCACAGCTGAAGCCCATCTGGTATATATATTCAACATGATGCTAAACTAAACGTCTCTCCTCCAGGCACAGAAGCGTACATCCCGCCAGAGTTTTATGAAAAAGGATGCTACCGGGCCAAACCAGCGACGGTCTATTCTCTTGGGGTTCTTCTGTTCACAATGCTCCATGGAGAATTCCCATCAGCGTATGACCTGTACTACCTCCAACATGACTGGTCCAAATTTACCCTCTCTCAAGGTGAGATGTTCATCAAAGAACAATTAAGTGAAACAGCTTAATAATAATAATAACAATAACCTCACCTCTCCATTTCTTCTTCACAGAATGCTGTGATATGATGAGGGCTTGTCTGCATGAGAATCCAGAGTGCAGAATTCCTCTAGAAGAGATGCCTTACCACGACTGGTCCATGCTGGAGTTCTGAGTCACATTAGCAGAATGTTTTGTATATTTGATTTTTGTACATGTCTGTAATAAAGATATATTTTATTGAACTCACTTGTGTTGTGGCTTATATTGTGATCTAGCCCCAGTGTTGTCAGATTGTGTGGATTTAAAATGGTTTTGTATGGGGTGACAAAAATTTGGCATGAGGTTTGAACAGCATCCAGTCCTTTCCAACACACACTGCAGTTGACACTGGCGTCATTACGGCGCACTTTTAGAAATACACTTTTTCAGAATGCTGTACAGCGCTGACCCAAAACCTAAACATATCAGTCACTGCGACATCAGCAAATCATCCATAAATATTCCAATGGTTTATTGTGAAATCAGAGCTGTTCAAAAAAATGTATTAAAATACAAACGTCGTAACATGAGAATGTGAGATTCAATACAAAACATCAGCATTTTCACAATAAGAGCACCCAGTTTTATTAAGGTCTTTGAGTGTTTGTTGCCATCATGACAATCCTAAACAAAATATTCAGTGATATTCCTTCAAATCAATACTGATAGTGTAGTTTGCGCAGACACACTGAGGTTTATCCAGTGTACAGAAGTCTGAATCATCCACATTATTTCATACGCTTCCAGAAACACGTTTACTACACGAATGTCCAGCGTTTGCTAAAACTGTTCAACTCTTTAGATGATTCCTTTCTTACAACATCTCCAACTATGACAGCTTCTCATTACTCACCATTTCTTAATCTTACTAAATACTTGACTTGATGTCACTCTGTGGACTCTGGGGTCATGTGCAGCACTAGCAGGTCGGCCCCCCGGCGGACCACCACATTTAAGCTTTCGCTGGTCCTCACAGCATTATATATCTCCTCCGACATGTTCACCTTTACCCCATTGATCTTAATAATAACATCTCCTGGCTTCATTTCGGCTCTGCAAAACAGAAAACAGGAAATGACATCATCAAAGGATGCCTTAATCAACAGCTGATAACATCATGTTCAGAGAGCAGCACACCTGTTGGCTGGAGATCCTACAATCACACGGTGGATGAGAACTCCATGAGAAACATCAGGGAAGGACGGGTCTCGCATCCTTAGCTCTTCGATTATACTGAGGAGGGGAAAAAGAGAATTTAAAGATAATAAAAGACTCACTTCAGTGCAAAGTTTACAGTTTAAGGATTGATTGATAAATAGATAAGATAGATAGATTCATAGATAGATAGACTGATAGTTTGATAGATAGATCAGCATAACAATCAATATTACATTTGCTTCAACCAAAAACACCTCAACAAAACATTCATACTACTTCACTCGCATAGAGTGTGAAAAAGGAAATGCTGTTAATTTGCAATGCATTGAATTAAAGGTGCAGTAGGTGATTGTCCTCAGAAACATTTTAGTTGTGCTGGTTGAAAGTCTCTTCACAGTCCAATAGTAATGATTAAAGTAAATGATCTAAATGTGTTTTTATGTATTTTATATTCTGGGTAAAGTATAAAACTAAAAAATGTTCATCCCATTAAATATTGTCGGGTCGACATCTCCTGTAATTCAGATAAGCAGCTCAAACTGTCTGTCAGCAAATGCAGATTTCAGGCCATGTGGCTTTGAATCACAGTCCCTCCCCGCAGTCCAAAGATAATATGCTAAGTGGTTAGCATTTTGGCAGATCACCTACTGCACCTTTAATTATTCACAGAAGTGTTCAAATCAATACCACAATTGAACTCGTGTCATTTGGGACAAAAAAATATATGATATTGTTCAACTCTACATTATGATATTGCTTAACTCTACATTATGTATACAAAACTAAAACCTTAAATATCTTGAATTTTACAGGGCTCATACAGGCACAGCCTAATGAAAATCAAGGACTTTTGAGCACTTTTTTCCAGCACCTATTTTTATTTTCAAGACTGACACGCAACGTATTAAAACACTGCATAGGAATTTATATATATACACAAATAAAAACCATTATTGATCATAATAATAATATAATTAATTAATCAATTGTATATTAATAATATATTAAACCTGCACTAAATGTGCTTGTGAAAATGTTTTTTTATACTATTACACTGCTAAAATAATACAAGTTTTAGTAAATAATACTAACATTGGGTAAAAGTACAAAGTACTCTTTTAAAAACTACTCAGAGTACTAGTTAGATATTTTTGGGGAAAAAAACTCAGATTTTCATTTTGGCTCTTTTTTCAAGAAATGATAATAAATTTATTTGAATGGTTTAATTGCTTGAATCACAAAGCTACATATATAAAAATGTGCACTAACAAAGGAAGTATGGTCGATTTTTCCTTCCATGACAATTAATCTTTTTCAATAGTACTGGCAAAACTACCACATACTCTATAAGGCCATAGAGACACATTTTGTCCATTTTTTGAACAATATTTTCAAGTTTTGAAAGGTTTAATTAAAGTATATGATAAAAATATTTCAATTTAGCCTTTTATTTACATATTTTACACCATTTTTCTTTTTTGCTCATTCTTGTCTTTACAATATGGCAAATTTGTTTCTTAAATAGCTGTACAGCACATGGAAATATTATTTTACACTTGATCTTAAACTGAAATAATTTTACAAAAAAAGACTAGTACGCTGTCATAAATAATAAATAAAATGATAATAAAGCAAATGGCTTTGTTTAACTCTAGGTATTTGAATTATGACAACACTACATTTTTCAAAGCAGTGTTTGAAGAGTCTTATTGTTTATAATGATCAATTTAACAGCAGATTGCTTTGACCTGTAATGCCTGTACAATTCAGTGATGCTTTAAGACAGATCCGAATACAGCTATAATGTATAAAACCCACAAATACCCCAAACAGAAACATTTCTAGCATAATTCTTTTGTCGTAAAGAAATATAAAAAATTCCAACTTTGCTCAAAGTACAGTAAGTTTCACTTGACGATACAGCCAAATAAAAAGTCTGTACTCTAAATACTAAATTTAGTCAAGGAGCAAAGATAAATAATTTCTACTTTAATATTGAAGAGATCGCGATTGTATACAGTCTGATCACACACACGAGATGATGAGAGGACTTGCAGTTAATTTGAAAAAGCCTATTTAAGAGGTCACATATGTGTTTTTATGATTAATGTACATGACTGCGCTCTCATGTTAAAATAAAGTGCTCACGACGTATGCAGAAATGAGTAATTGCGCAATACCTGCATTCCCACGCCAACATTCAGAAGAGTGACAGACAAGTCAGAAGAAGAGAGCGGAGAGAAGAGAGCAAAATGAGTGTGTAGATCGTTGAAATGGCAGGAAGTATGTTCGTGGTTTAATTACTCTTGCTAATAACATATAGTGAAAACATCCCAAAAGCATTTTTCCATTAAAACATTTGTTTTTAAGTTTTTGTGTTTTTTTTGTCACTGCAACACAGAAAGGCCTTTGTCCCGCCGTTACGTTCAATGTAAAACTAAACAAGGTTGACTGTGATTGGCCACTTCTCATATCATTTAAATCACTGCTTCGGAATCACGGTAGATTGTGGAGGTATTTTTGCATTAAATTGTCACAAAAATTCGAAAACATTTTTATTTTTCGGCGTGAAAATTGCATACAAATTCTCCTTGATAAATTAAGCACTTTTCAACAGAACAAGCCAATTTTCCAGGTATTCCAGCACTTGAATTTCTAAGAGCCAAATCTAGTGGTAAATAACAAAAATCTGCAGATTCCATAATGTATGAATTTTGCTCTCCTGTAAAATTGTAATAAAAGTGTTTGGCACCTGGGGGTCAAAGCCAACATCATCACTCCAATGTAACGCCTTTTCGATCCCGATTCTCCAAACCAAGACTCTGAAAAAAAGACCCAATAACCATCTGTCAGTGAAAAAAAATTCTGTCACAGACAAAAGCAAGCAGCTGTGAGGTCATTCTTACTCTGTTTGTCTACAGATCGGTCTAGGAAGAGACGGACTCTGTCTGAGGGAATAGCGAAGGAAATCCCTGCTGTCACTTTCATGGTATTAATGCCGATGACCTCACCATCCTGAAGAGTACAAACATGACACATCAGTTTATTACATAAGGCTAGAGTACGGCCAGTACAATACAATATTGATGAACATTTGAAAACAATTCACGTTCTTAATATGACAGTCATGAAGCTCTGTGTTGCTCTGAAGGTCCAGCAATCTGTAGTCAACTACTAAATGTGCACTAATAACTTTGCCTTTTACCTTATTGTACAAGGAGGGTACCACCATAGCTGTGAGATACGTTCTACTTGGGATTTCGTAGAGTGGTTCTAGCACACTAATTAAATGCCTAAAACCAGAGTTTTCTACCCCTGAAAAAGGTTGCATGTCTGTGGCTATAAATACTCCTACCCTAATACTCCTACTATTATGCCTACAATTGTCTTTGCTTGTGTTGAGTTACTTGGAAGTTTTATTCTAAATGAAGACAGGAGAGTAGTTTGTGTTACACTTGTCAGTTTAACAGATAAAGTAATGATTTTGTGGACATCAGTAATCTAACTATTTGCCTTAATCTAATTAAAACAATAATATGATTAAGGTGTTTGCATGAGTTGCTTTTTGAATGTTCCTTTCATGATCCCGTTTTACATGTTTAAGCACATAATACGATTAACGTCATTGTGTCACCACGCTATCCACGTTTCCTCCGGAGTGTCATGTAATTTTGGGGATTTTCATTCTTAATTTGTCGACTTTAACTGCAGTTTGGCACTTTCATTTTCATTCAAGAACATTTCATGCGTGCCCCCCATGACAAACGACATATTGGATCCGAGGAACTGCTAGAAGAGTGTAGTTTTAATGGCCTACTTCGCCATCTGAATAACAAGGTAAACCAATTGCTTACTTACCAAATCCGTAGAGACAGGACAATCAACGCGAACTGGATTTGCGTTTTTTTTTATAAGAAGACGAGTGGCAAATCTGGATTTCACCATTTATAATACAAAAAGCTCTCGGGTAAAAATGTTCCTTACAAACATTTTTGTTGCGTGTTAGAAGACCACTGTAGTCCACAAATGTGGGTCCTTCCTCACTGCGGGAAAATGAAAACAAAACCTTTGTTGTGGCAAGTTTATAAACAACACTGACGACCCATGTCTCCGAACAATTCTTCTTCTTCCACTTGTTTTATTTACGGTTAGCAACACAACGTCGCGTCTCTCTGAATACTGTAACAGGTAGTTTTTGAAGCTGTCATGCATATTAATAAAGTTGCACCTCATTCACAATAGAGAGCACTGATTAGTTTGTCTTTCTCTTGAATTAATGATGAAAGCTCAAAGACGTCACATTGTACCCGCCGGTACAGACAGCCAGTCTCCATGCTGGAATTTACACAAGGAGCTCATGGCCTTGACGTAGCTTCAAAATTTCTTTTCAAACCGGAAGAACGAATTTGTTCGAAATAGCGCAAAAACAACCAATTTTCACTTTTATTGTTAAATATGTGTCCTAAGAGTGTTTTTAGCAGCGTGGAACATATATATGACTATTGACATCTCAAAAATGTGTTTCGGTGTTTCGTGACGCTTTAAACCAAAAGGCAGAAGCAGTCAGTTGAGTAAATGTCAGCGACTCACCAGGTTTATGAGAGGCCCTCCTGAATTTCCAAACTGTAAAGCAGAATTGTGATTGAGTGATGGAATGCAATTCATTAAATGATGACATACATTTTTTTTGCATGCAACACCACCCAGTTTCCAGTGCTCTTACATCTATGGTAGCGTCCGTCTGGATGTAGTCCATGCTGGAGTTGGAGAGACCCAGTTCTTTACTGTCTCTCTGAGCAGAGCTGACGATTCCAGATGTGATGGTGTTTTTAAGAGAAAAGGGGCTCCCCATGGCAACCCCAAATTCACCTTGACACACATCAGATGACTTGCCAAGACGCAACGTTGGTAAAGGATTCTGGGACAAGACAGAGAACACAATGACACTATGTCAGACTATATGGCCATGTACTAGAACTGTGGTAAAAGAAAAGTGTGAAAAATCAATTGCAAAAATGGCGTTCCAAACATTAAAGCCTCCTCTGTTACTGTTCGTTTACCTAAAATTGTTGACTATAATATTCTGTAGTTGCTGTAATACTACTGCGTTTAAAAATCTGAGGATACAAAACCAAATGTCACTAAGGTTATCACAATTTCGAGTTTATTTCCATATTTGTATGCGGCCGTTCCTCCTGAAATATTACAGCGTGTATGTAGCCTAAATACAGTATAAACAGATTAATGGGTTAACACCAGGGCTTGACATCAACACCCACCAACCGCAGGTAGACTTTAGCTGTGGCGGATTAGACAGCCACTCCCACTATCCACTTTGGCTGGTCGAAAATCATTTTTAAATTGTTTTTTTTTTTTGAAGTAGGGTTCGACAATAAGGATGAACCTCTATAAATGAGAAGCAGCCCGACTGACAAAAACAACTGTGTTCGTGCAAGCAAAAGAAAGCAGATGAATACAGAATGTTATGTGATGCACGCAATTTTTTAAAAGCGTGCACGCTCTCATTTCCTTGCGTGAAGCAACCTTGACCGGAAACACAATGCTGCGATCGGTTCTGTTTGAAATAGACTTCACAAAAAGCGATACACATCCACCATTTTCAAGAGCTCGAGATTAAAAAAAAAGAAGGTATTTTATGTATGCAGCAGCAGTTGCAGCTTTAGCTTTAAACAATCTTTGAACAGATTATTAATGGGCCTAACGTTAACTGTGTGCGTTTGATCATCCTTTTATTATTGCACACGGTATGTTTTTCACCTGCTTTCTTTTTGTTAATATGGTTAAATTATCATTCTTTTCAGTAACATTGATTTAATAGATTAAATTTAATGTATAGTTAACTGCTGATCTGAGACCTTGGTCTTGGAGCTAGGACAGACTACTTTTCATAGTTTTAGACAGGCTACATGACAATAATTGTTAGTTTAGTTTTATTTAATAAAAAGTGTTTGCATATTATAACATATATTTTGCTAGTTTTTGAAATTTTTAAATTATTTAACATTTTTGGCTAAGAAATATTTATTAATTTATTTATTTATTTATTTTCCAGTGTGGTCAGAGAAAAAATTGGTACAACCTTAATGTTTAGCCCTGAAATAATTACAAAGCAACACCATGAAACCACTACCACTCATGCTCATTGAGCAATGTCATACACAACACATCTAAATCAAGTAATTTTGCAAATATATTTTCCCAAAAACAAAAGTGAAAATGGCGAGTGGCTAGTAAAGTTGAAAAACTACTAGCCATATAGGCTGGTGATCAAAAAAGTTAATGTAGAGCCATTAAAAACATTAAAAATCATATTGACCTCACACTTTTAATGTACTAACAGTGACACAATTTTGATTCTATAGGTTTAATTCTTAAATGAACAAAATTCAAAAAGAAATTACTCATTTGATAAAGACCTTTTACTAAAAATGTAAATTAATAAAATAAAATGAGTCCTTGTTCTTACCATATTAAACTATGACTCAATAAAAATAATGATGCACCGATACCATCTTTTTGGAACTGATTCGATTTCGATCCCAAAATTCTGAGTATCGACCAATACAGATCTGATCCTGATACTGTGCCATTTTTTAAGCATAATACAGTTTCTATGGTGATGTGGTCCAGCTTATGTTTCCTTTTTTAATAGTAAGATTTTTCTTTGAACTCTGCAACAGGCTACCACTATTGACTCTAATCAAAACACAAACTGGTCTGTTAAATAAACTATTGATATAAATAAAATTACAGTCAAATATTCACAGTTTTCAGAGCAGCCGGTACTAGGCTAAATAATTTTCTGTTAATTAAAATCTATATTGTGATTGTCAGTTTCACTTTTATTAATTTAATCAACAACTTTGACCACAATGAGCCAGGCTTACAAACTATCCTAAAAGTATTCCCCTCGAAAGAATAAACTCAGTGGGAAGGATGAGAAAACAGAAACTTTTAATGTTACAGAATAATTTTACAGAGCGGCACACGTCACATCAGCCGGTGTGTGAATGAAGTGCTTGATGCATCACTGAGACAGCTTCCAATCCAAAACAGCAGTAAAAAGGGAAGAAATCAGTGCGGTAAGGATCTGTCCAATGTATTATTGAGCCTTTTCTAGTTTTAAATTTCAGGTAGGCCTACTTTGTGTGTGAAGAGCAGGTAATAACCCACTCAGTTCCAGTGTTGCGAATGCGATCATCTGATCTAACAGCTACATGATTTAGAAACAGAAATGAACTCGTCGTTTCAGGCAGAAATGAACCAATTTAATATATATTATATTATAATAAATTAATATAATGTAATATAATAAATTACTATTTATTTAAATTAACAGGGACAAATAGTGTTGGAGAAAGTTTTTCATGTTGTCATGAACGTGACACGCAGTTTGAATTGTAAATAAATTGGAGAATGATTGACAGGCGCAGCGGAGGGAAGCGCAGAACTGAACATGAATTTAACCATGTGAATATTGATCTGTACTTCACATTAAACTATAGAATGGCTTCAAAACATTTGGGATACAGTAGGCCTACAAGACAACTTTCTACTGTCTTATAAAAGGCTACCTTTCTGGCTTTTGTTTGCTTATAAATTACACAGAATATAGAGCACGTGCAAGATGGGATTTGCAGTAAAAATATGCAGTACCAAACCAATATCCAATCCAAGTATCAGGATCGGTGCATCCCTAATTAAAAAATTAAATATCCCCAAAAGATAACATATGTTAACAGTACAACCTCAAAGCTCCATCTGTACCTTAACATTGATTTTGATGGTGGCGATGTCTGCAGCCTGGTCCACATCCTGAACTGTGGCGTTGTAAGTCTCACCATTGGTCAGTTTGACAAGAACACCACGCTTGTTGGCGACCACATGGCCATTTGTCACTATCAGGCCATCACTACTTATTATAAAGCCAGAACCATTCGAGATGGGAACCTCACGGCCAGAAAAGGGGTGTCTGAAAGAAAGAGTGTAATATTAGTCACAATTCCCAAACACAACTGAAACTAAAACCATCTGGTCATCTTAAAATAGAAACAAGTGATCCAAAAAGTCTCTATAGAGAAAATCAACATAAAACACCCTGCTGAAAAAAAAAACAATCCTGTTGAGCGCGCGCATGTAAAGGTAACTGGGTGAACAAGTCAAACAAAGTATATACACAAGAGAACATAAAAATATACAACAATTCAAAAAAATGAAGCAAGAATAATAAAGATTTAAATAAAACATATAATAGATAGATAGTACAATAATAATAATGATAGTAATAATGTCAGTGAAAATGACAACAGCATTATTAATAACAACAACAACAACTACAACTACCACTTTTGATTACTTAACATTCAGAAATTAAACCGAATTAACAAAAAATATTGTAAATATATGTGTAGTGTTAAAACATTGTTGGGTTTTACAACCCTGCGAAATGTGAGAATGTTTTAACAATAGAAATGATAAAAAAGTAAAGAATTAGGTTAACTTGATTGTTTTTATAAATGTAAGTGAGTTGAACATAAAACAGTCAAGTTGCCCCCAATAAACTTAAGAATTGAGTTGCTTCAACACGTTAAATAAGTATTTTTTAAATGTCTGATAACAATAATTTTGTTAATATTTTTTTTGGGAATTTGGGGAAAAATGTTTGGTTCTATTTTTATAGTAATTAAATGTTTATAATTTAAAATGTTTATAATAATTAGATGTTTTGCCGCCTTGTTTTTGAATTGTCCAATGCAAAAAGACCCTCTTATAGCAAGATTAGAGATGCACCGAAATGAAGCTTGTTGATTGAAACTGAAAATTCTAGATGCATTTGGCTGAAAACTGACACTGAAAAGGCTTTTTAATAATTGGAAATTATTTTTATAAATAAAAAATATATAGTTTTAAATCAAATTTTATATCAAAAAATAAAGTAATTTGGCGACGCAGTAGGTAGTGCTGTCACCACACAGCAAAAAAGTCACTGGTTCGAGCCTCGGCTAAGTCAGTTGGCATTTCTGTGTGGAGTTTGCATGTTCTTCCTGCGTATGCGTGGGTTTTCTCCGAGTGCTATGGTTTCCCCCACAGTCCAAAGACATGCAGTACAGGTGAATTGAGTAGGCTAAATTGTCCGTAGTGCATGAGTGTGAATGAGTATGTATGTATGTTTCCCAGAGATAGGTTGCAGCTGGGAGGGCATCCGCTGCGTAAAAACATCTGCTGGATAAGTTGGCGGTTCATTCCGCTGTGGTGACCCCAGATTAATAAAAGGACTGAGCCGAAAAGAAAGAACACAAAAGAAACACAAAAGAAGACATTTTCAATAATGCTGAAAACCTCTAGCTATTGACTTCCATAGCAGGAAAAATAACTACTATAAAAGTCAATGTTCAGGTTTTCAGCATTATTAAAAATATCTTCTTTTGTGTTCAACAGAGTAAAAAAAACTCATCAGAAATGATGAATTGTCCTTTTTGGGTAAACCACACAACTACTTACAAATATGCTCAGTTCAGTTTATTCTTCTTTTTTTTTTTTAAAGAGCCTCTATTATGGGTTTTTGAGAATGACCTTCCATGTATTGTGTAACACAGCTCTAAGTGAAGTGAATTATTCAGCTAAGACTAAAATCTGCAAGTGTGCAGTGTTTAAAACTGTTGATTCATTTATAAAAGAGTCGACTCACAGTGCTTCAAATGAATCGTCTTGATAAAGAGTCTTAAGCCGTGCCGGCGTGACCAGGAAATGGAACTTAAGCCCCGCCCAGGGCCGGATTTACCAATGGGCCTTATAGGCACAGGCCCAGTGGCCCGAGCGCACTTGGGGCCCCTGCGAGGGGGGAGAAGAAAAAGACAATTTCGGGGTGTTTTTTTAGGCTAACTGCAAATAGAACACCTAGTTGGAATAAGCTATTCACGCTTTACGCCCATCGATGCTTGATTGACAGAGACAACAAGAATAAAGAGCAGGGCCAAACGGAATCTGCGGACGTTTTTTGCTATTTCTGTGGAGAATTTTGGTAAAAATCTGCGGATTTCTGTGCAATTATTTTGGGAGTTTCCAGCGGAGTATCATAACTTACACCTTAATATATTAAATAAAAAGTAATAAATTACTAAATAAAAACTGAATAAATTCAGATTTACACATTTACTCAAGTAAATAAACAGAATTAATGATAGGCTAAAAATCTGCAGAAATCTACGGAATTCTGCGGAAAATCTGCGAAAAATCTGTGGAATTCTGCGCGCGCAGATTCCGTGTGGGTCTAAAGAGCTATGCAGCATCACAGTCTGAGTGGCGTACCTCGTAATGTGCACAGCAACATCTTTTGACGCGATTGATCATCAACCTGGTTCGAATTCACCATCTGCTGAACTTGTGCTACTTTTTTTCTCCCCATTACATATCAGATTAGAAATATATTTATTTTTAACAGGAAGGAAACATTTTTAATAAATAATGCAAATGCGATATAAAGTCAAGTGCCTCGTGGGTATTTAATAATGTTTAGCCTTAATAAAGGTGCCTCCTTCTCTGTAAAAACTATATTGCTCAGACAACTGTATTTCATCTGAGCAAAAAAATCACATATAACTATTATTATTATGTTTAAATTGTCTTTCTAACAGAATGCTGTAATTGGTCAAGCGCGGAAACATCAGTTTTGAAATAACCCGCACTAAACTGAGCGGACTGTAGTGTAACGTTAGTATTTATCATGGATCAAAAATGAGTGGACAAGTGGATTTAGCAAACGCGAGAGAAAGAGGAGAGGAGGCATCTTTATTGAGGCATTTTCCATACACACCTTCTTCAAACAGACCCATGATCAGGAGGATGAGGGTATAGAAGAAGACGTTATGGTAACGTAAGATCAGTAAGCTAGCATTAACCAGGCGGAGGAGGCTAACGGCAGCGCAGCGCGGACTGGATTCATCGTGAGAGAAACAGACAGAAAAAGGAGAGAGAGAGGGAGAGAGAAAGGCCCCGAAGAGGAGAGAGACCGGAGAGGAGAAGAGGTATAGTGTGTGTGATTTTCTGATACTTTTAGGTTTATAATCAAGTTGATCTATGCTGTTTGCCAACTTTTCATCACGAGAAGAGTAGAGAGAATACAGGGAGAGGAAGAGAGAGACAGTAAATCATTAATAAGTGTGTGTATTATTAAAGACTCAGATTCATAGAACTGGATTGGAGAGGCATTGTGTGATATAGCCTATGCCATGCAAACAATATGCTCTATCAGTTTGTAAAAGCTCTACATTAAAAATACCCTTAAAAATTATATATATATATAGTACTGTTTCAGTGAACTTGTACAAGTATACTAAAAAAACATTCAATTTATTAGTATTTTTATTCAATGCTTTGAAAAATAAGTTAAATCTTTGTAAATACATATGTACTATATATCATTTATTTAAATATGTGGGCAACAAATTATAGATTCATTTTATTTAAAAAATATTATATTATTATTATTTTTTAAATTCAACTATAGGGGTAGGGCCAGGTAGGGGGCCTTACAAGATAATGTGCCCAGGAGCTCCTGAGTTTTTAATCCAGGCCTGGCCCCGCCTATTTGTTGCACGCGCAATCCCGGGAAAATTAAAAAACCCAGCCCCGCCCACAAACACAGTAGCAAAGAAAAAGAAGAAGGACACTGCAGCAGACGCCAGTTGAATCATGTCACGAAGACGCTGTGCTCTGAAGTGTGAGGGGAAAGTTAGTGTTATTTTCTCTACTCAAAGATGAAACAGTGAAGAGTGAGTGGTTGAGGTTTATTTTGGCAAAAATACCTCAACATTACAGCCCAGGCTTGTGCTGTGTTCCTGTCATTTTTCTGATGAGTGCTTTAGATCAGAAAAGTCTGTTGACGTATGGGACTTTGTCAGAGCTCGACAGGAACTTTACAGTACACAGTTTATGGATCAGTTTCTTTCTCCATTTCACAAGTGTAAGTATGTGCAATTAAAATGGTTGCCTCTTTGTTTTCTCTACAAATTATGTATTTTATTGTTTTTTGCTACTTATAACCGCTTGTAGTGCATCTGGTTAACTCCTTATATTCTCATATCACGTCTAATGCCATGATGAAAATGCGACGCGTGCCGCTTTGTTTACGGATTTAAATGCGTTTGCATTTAAATGCACAATCCACTGGCACTTGTCGTTGCTATGGCCATCATCAGTTTCCGGGATAAATAACAAAACGGGAGGGTGGCGGGAGATGGGTCTGAAATTACAGGAGACTCCCGGAAAAAAACGTGAGTGTTGGCAGGTATACTCACACATACACTCTGCACTCTGACTACTTCAATATTGTTGATAAGCCATGGTGGCCATTTCTCTCCGTCTCACGCTGAACGCTGTTGACCAATCACAACAGAGTACAATATGACCAATCAGCGCAGATTAGCATCGCGTTAGGAAGGGGTGTAGGAACAAATTAATTGCTAAATAATCATATGAGAGTCGCTGCCATAATTTGGTACAAATAAATGCAGATTTTAAGACAATAAAAGTGTTCTTTGACCTTGAATGCCCATCAGCCTGTTGTTGGAGAACCCCCCCCCCCCCCCCCCCCCCAAAAAAAAAGTTTTTAAAGTAAAACTTGACTCTTGTGTAGTTAAAGTATGCACCAAGACTGATGGAAATGAATAGCTGCTATGTTCCAGCTTGACATGGCTAGTAACTATACCTATACGCCTCTCGGGAAGTATACATGGGCATTCTGTTTGAATGGGTAAATCAAATTCTTCAAAACTGCTTGCCAAGATTACGATTACATTACATATTATGAATAACCAATAAAATTGAACAGTAACTGTCCTTTTAGTTTCATTTATAAACGTCCATATCACACAATATCTGCAGAAACTCACATCTAGTCCAAGCCCCTCCCCTGGAGAATTGTCATTCTATACTGATCGCTGATTGGCTCATGTACTAAAAGGTGGGCTTTATTTGCCATATATCAATCACTGATTGGCTCCTGTACTAGAAGGCGGGGCTTCATTCGCCTATTGACTGTTTCACTTTTCCCATTCAAAAGTATACGAGTGACACGTCATGTGTATTCTATAATCATTGCTATACTCTCATTCTGCAGTAATAATCAAGGATTTTGGACTATTTGTTAGACCCAGAGATCAGCTGAACGGATTAAAATGATCAAACACAACAGTTTAACTCTGAGTGACTTGAAAAATGAGCCTATTTGCCAAAAAGCCTTCCTTTAAATACGTCATAATTAATATAAAACAAAAGTATATTGTTTGCTTTCATAACTTAAATTACGGTCAATGTAACTGCATAGAGACTCAAAACGTGTGTGTGTGTTTTTTATAATCAGTGAGGGACCACTGACTTCTCAAAATATCACAAGAACGCAAGCATGTTTGGAGTAAATGACGACAGAATTTTCACTTCTCGCCTTTTAATGATTCCTCTCTCTACAGCATATCTCCAAATTAATCAAAAATCAACCCTGAAACCTGTTTCCAAAAATCATCAGAAAATTTACAAGAACAAAAAGAACATTTTTGTGATTTTTTTATTATTATTATTATTTATTATTAAATATATTGCAGGGATAGTAGTACCTGTGTAATATTTTGAAATAAATTTCTTCTACCTGATTTGGGCGTAAAAATGTATTGTTGACCAAATATCATCGATAAATGGGAAAGAAAAATATTGTTTCCATTTCAAAATGTCTTTCAGGAAACATGTTCCACCAATGCGTAAAGCACTTTGAGTGTGCAGGAAACGTGCTATATAAATGTAAGGAATTATTATTATTAATTATTATTTATTCATTTCTATGTGAAACACTTTCATGAGCCCATTTAGCCAATAAGACAAAAACATAGTTTTACTAAAGTAAACTTACATTTATCCACAAAAAATAAACCTGACTGTATTTTTTGTAGTAAAATCGAGGTTAATTGTGTTAAAGAGCCCATATTATGGGTTTTTGAAAATTCCCCTCCATGTAGTGTGTAACACAGCTCTAAGTGAAGCGAAGTATCCAGCTAAGGCTTAAATCTGTAAGAATACAGTGTTTAAAACGGTTGATTCATCTATAAAAGAGTCGACTCATAGTGCTTCAAACGAGTCGCCTTGATACCGACTCATTAGGTGTTTCGCCATGACGTACGAACGAAACCAAGTTATTCACGTGCACGCGCAAACCCGGGAGATTTCAAACCTGAGGCCCCGCCCTCTGACGCAGAAACCCAGACACACACCCACAAACACACGCACACAAACATGCCGGTCGATTGAAGTCACACTGCAGATGGATATATTGAGTCTCTACCCAAAGATGAAACCTCAGCATTATAACCAAGCAGTTGGAAACTTCTGGAAGCTACATGCTACAAAGAATACTTCATCTGAGTTTGTTAAAGGAAGGATCAGTAAAGAGTAACTGATGGACGTCAGGATGGGTTTCTTCCATTTCTCAAGTGTAAGTACGTGCGGTTAAAGTTGTTGCCTCGTTTACTCTTGCTTGCAAATGTATTTAGTTGTGATTTGTTACTTGTAACCGCGTGTACTGTATCAGGTTAACTGGATATTTGATCTTATCGCGTGCAAAGTCACGTTAAAAACGCGACGCGTGCTGTTTGTTTATGGAGCTCCGTGCTAGAGTTCTGCTCCCGCGATTTATTCGGAAATTTATTCCCGCGCCGCAGAAATCTGGCGCGGGGACAGCCGCGGGAATAAATTTCCGAATAAATCGCGGGAGCGGTCGGTAACGGGTTTAATTTGGGACGGGAGCGGGCTGTCTAGCAATATCACGGATATTGCTATGCGAATTAGAAAGAGAGAGTCTGCGTGGTGCTTGTGTGTGTGTTAGTGCGCACACGCGCGTATGAGAGAGAGAGAGAGAGAGAGAGCGAACGAACGAACGAACGACAGCTTGGCTGTCTGGACTGTATACTGGGTGATTTTTGGTTGTGTTCTCCGCTCTAGCGGGACCGGGCGCGGCGGGCAGAAAACGGAGCGGGTTCTCAGGCTAAAACCTGGCGGGTGCGGGCGGAAGCGGGAGCGTTGTCATCCGGAGGTGTGTGTGTGTTTTTGTGTGTGTGTGGTATGGCGAGTACACGACTGTCTCCTTCGTTCGGTTATCCGTGGCACTATCCACTCGCCATAGTGTGGCAGCTAAAATCCACGTCTATACTATCGAGCGTGTATGAACTGTGATTACTTTTTAAATTGCTGATTAGCTATTGGCCATTTCCCTCTCTGACTGAAGGCAGTCGACCAATCGCGACAGACTGTCATCGGTCCAATCAGCGCAGATTAGCTCCGCGCTAAGGAGGGGTTTGGGAACAAATGAATCACTGGACGATTCATACAGGAGTCGCTGGGATAATTAGGTAAAAATAAATGCAGATTATAAGACCATGAAAGTGTTTTTTGACCTTGCATGCATATTAGACTGTTGTTGGAGACCCTTACAACCAGGATATGACCCTATTTCATGTATAATATGGGCTCTTTAAATATGCCATTTCAGCCTGCAGAATGGCATTTCAAACTGTGGCCAAACAAAAATATAGAAAATAAATATCGAGTTTCTGTAATATAAAACTAAACAATTCCTCTCCCTGTATAGTTCCTAAAGTTAACTAGACAGAAACAAATGTAAGTTAATTTTAACAGAATCACTCAAATAGCAATTAATCTGACTGATGTTAACGTTAAAGGTTTGAAGTTTTTACAAGCTTTTAATTAAAACAATAGTTTAAAGTTACAGTACCGTTAATATAACATTAATATTTACATTAAGTTGCATCAATGTTAGCATTAGCATCAAATGCTAATTAGCGCTACTAGCCTGTGACATACAGTAATAAACGTTAGATCTAATTACACTGACTTTAATATTCATTGGTTTAATTTGTAATTATTTATTTTATTTATGTTATTTTTTCTTTTTAATTCGCATTTTTCACTTAGTAAAGGCGGAGACTGTTGACTAACGTTAGTAGCTCTAAATTAGTTGACTGGAATGCTGTGACAGTGTTAGCATGTAGCATGTTCACACATAAAATAAGTACAGTCCGCAATTTAAACCATGTCCTACCTTTTGTTGTAACTTAATAAAATCTACTGCAATTGATGTCAACAAAGATGTTTAATCCACAAGAATTTGATCATTATTCCTACCTGTTCACATCGGTTCAGTCCTTATTTAGGCTAGAGTGGGTTATTTTTTGAGAATGAATCTGTGGATTTAAATGAATTGTGAGAGTCGATTCATCCTTGACCTATTCATAAACACAACAGTTGCTTTGTTGCTGAATAAATGTCTTATTCACTTAAGACAGTGTCCTACCACCACCTACTGGCGATTTCAGGTAATACATGGATAACTTCATTTTGTTGCATATTTTTCTTTTTAATTTATTATTTGAAGCATTATTCATTTAAAAATAATTCACAAGAATAACTCATTAATAAGATAATAAATAATTAATAAGAATTTATATAATCATAATATATAAAATATAATATAAACGATAATAATAATACTGTTAAAAATGATAAATAATTGATAATGAAAATATAAAATAATTTAAATGAGCTACTCAAAATAAATGAATCATACACACACACGCACACACACACACACACACACACACACACACACACACACACACACACACACACACACGTATAAATATATATAAACATGGCAATAATTGTTATAAAAAGTAAAACGCAGAAAAAGTTGTGCATGACAGAAAAAAAATACATAGGCCTAAGTGCAAAATTAATTCAATTAATAATTGGAAAAAATGTGTATAAGCAGGTGGCTGTGTGAGCACATTAAGGCGAATGAGCCAGTCAGTCTAGCGCGGGCCTGCATTAGAAGTTTGTTTTGTTTTAAAAAGTCTCTACGTAATACTAAATGGAATTGTGGAACTCTGACATCATCAGTGACAGTATAAAGCTTTTTGACGTAGCAGAAACTCTCAGTAGCTTCTTTGGATGTCTAGTAGTTCAGTACTTTCTGCGATTCAACAGTACAGTGATACAATGGCATTTTCAAAACTGATTAACCGTCTGAAGAAAGCGTTTGGTGTTAAGTGTGCGAACGAACAACCGTGTGAGCCACTCGAACCCACCGGCAGCACGACAGAGAATCACCGTCATCTGATGACCGATGACCCGGCCGTCGCTGCAGGAAAACAGGCAGGGAGACAGAAAAAGAGGAAACTCAAATTGTCTCCCATCTTCTTCGCCTGTTTTTCCAGAAGAAGAGCTACTGTTGTTGGTAAAATAGATTTATGAGCACTTTTAATTACTAAAGCATACTGTTAAACACACCAAACACATCACATAAGTGTTTAAAGATCAGAAATTAACATTACTGCAAGACATTTTAGAAAGAGTTTCTTAAAGCCACAGTTCACATAAACAAGACAATTCTGTCATAATTTACTCCTTAAACCTGTTTGAGGTGCTTTCAGCCATTGACTTCCACAGTATTTTGTGTTCCTACAATGAAGGTTAATGGCTGCTGATTTCAGGAATTTTCTTCAGAATTTGTAGTTTTGTGTAAAAAACAGAAAAAATAAGAATTATTTGTATTAGGATTTTTATTTCAGTGAGCTTTGCCTTTAGATATATAGTTTACTTGTTTGCAAATTCAATGCAGAAAACCCATGAAGATCATCAATAAAAACACATTGAGTAATGTTTCTGCAAATGAACTGTTCAAATATCTTATCAAAAAGAGTTGTAGAGTCATATTAATGATGTTCCTTCCTCTCTTTAGATCAGCTATGTGTGCAGGAGATCCACGAACTTCACGCAGAGCCCATCAGTAGCTCTAAATTCTTCTGCACTGCTGTGAGCAACCTGGAGCTGGAAGTTCTCCAACCTCCAGCTCTTGATGCTCCAGCAGACAAAGATTTGGACTTTAAGCCGGAAGTGAACAGCTTTGACTCTGCAGTGGTCATTGAGAACGACTCTGCAGAGCTTCACTTCCCAGAAGACATTGAATCCTCCCTCAGTGAGGACAGCCTGGAGCAAGAGCTTGATAGTCCTCCAAGTTCACCATCCGATGAGGACAATGAATCTCCAGTGAGCCAGCAGCTCATAACAGATGACATCTGTGACTCTGCCCTGGATGAAAACTGGAACCCTCCACCGGATCAGGTCTCACAAGAGGACTCTGCTGTGAAGTCTACAGCAGGTGATGGGACCTGCTTGGACAATAGTAAGTTTATTGCTGGAGTTCAGAACATTTGTTTAGGCTCATCAAACTTTGTAAAATTATACAGTTGAAGTCAAAATTATTCGCCCTCCTGTGATTTTTTATTAATATTTTTTAATTATTTCCCAAATGATGCAGAGCAATAAAGTTTAAGTATTCAGAACTTTAAGCTGAACACAGGTATCTTGAAAATATCCAGTAAATATGATGTACTGTCATCACGACAAAGATAAAAGACATCAGTTATTAGAAATGAGTTATTAAAACTATCATGTTCTGAAATCTGACAATAATTCTGACTTCAACTGTTTGTGTTTTTATTTGATTTATAATTTAATGACATTTTCTTCATTTTTAACAGATGACATCAGCTGCCGCTACAAACTCGGAAAGCAGCTTGGTGAAGGAGGTTTCGGCTCCGTGTATGAGGGGATTCGCATACAGGATGGTCTGCAGGTATTCATTTTTGTAGACTCAAATCCTCTGATGAAGTTCCCTGTTTAAAGAACATCATCAGAGCTTTCATTGTTTGGACATTTCTGCTGACGAATGAATCCTCTGTTCAGGATTTATGACTGAATGAAATGATCTCCGTGCACATGTTAATTGTTCGCTTGTTCCTTTAAACAGGTGGCAGTTAAATTTGTCCAGAAGACCCCAAATATGCAAGATGTCAGCTCTGTGAGTAGATTACACTTTCTGTTCGCTGTGTTCAGTTTATAAAGTCTTATATTTATTATAGACCACAGGCTGTGGTCAGAAACCCTTGTTTGAAAACCAACATTATTATTTTGTTTTCAGTCATGTGACCAGCCACTTCCTCTAGAGATCACCTTGGCAAACATGGCCAGCGGTGGCTCCAGGTGTCAGAATATTATTAAGCTTCTGGACTGGCAGGTCTTTGAAAACCATTATGTCATGGTGATGGAGCGGCCTAGTCCAAGCATGGACCTGGAGGCATTCCTTGAAGTCAGCGGAGGAGTCCTCAGTGAAAAAACAGCACATACCATCATGAGGCAAGCTGTTTATGCGGCCAACGTGTGCTGTTACCGCGGGGTGTTCCACCGGGATATTAAGCTTCAAAACCTGCTGGTGAACCCCGACACACTGGAAGTCAAGCTGATCGACTTCGGGTGTGGAGACTTCATGATGGAATCAGCCTACAGTATCTTCTCTGGTAGGTGTTTTGAATAGTGTGGTCAAAAGTATCGACTTCGGTACCAATCGATTCTGACATTTAACAAGTCAATTTGAGCGCTGTTAAACACCACTGATTGGCCATTGGTGTTCACATGCTCAGCAAATATGACTGTGATGAGTGTCGGTATCGATTGGTAGTTGATACTTTTGACAACACTAGTTATGAATGTGCATAAGCATTTTTAATATACGTATTGAAAGCTGGTTAATTAGCACAGCTGAAGCCCATCTGGTATATATATTCAACATGATGCTAAACTAAACGTCTCTCCTCCAGGCACAGAAGCGTACATCCCGCCAGAGTTTTATAAAAAAGGATGCTACCGGGCCAAACCAGCGACGGTCTATTCTCTTGGGGTTCTTCTGTTCACAATGCTCCATGGAGAATTCCCATCAGCGTATGACCTGTACTACCTCCAACATGACTGGTCCAAATTTACCCTCTCTCAAGGTGAGATGTTCATCAAAGAACAATTAAGTGAAACAGCTTAATAATAATAATAACAATAACCTCACCTCTCCATTTCTTCTTCACAGAATGCTGTGATATGATGAGGGCTTGTCTGCATGAGAATCCAGAGTGCAGAATTCCTCTAGAAGAGATGCCTTACCACGACTGGTCCATGCTGGAGTTCTGAGTCACATTAGCAGAATGTTTTGTATATTTGATTTTTGTACATGTCTGTAATAAAGATATATTTTATTGAACTCACTTGTGTTGTGGCTTATATTGTGATCTAGCCCCAGTGTTGTCAGATTGTGTGGATTTAAAATGGTTTTGTATGGGGTGACAAAAATGAGGTTTAAACAGCATCCAGTCCTTTCCAACACACACTGCAGTTGACACTGGCGTCATTACGGCGCACTTTTAGAAATACACTTTTTCAGAATGCTGTACAGCGCTGACCCAAAACCTAAACATATCAGTCACTGCGACATCAGCAAATCATCCATAAATATTCCAATGGTTTATTGTGAAATCAGAGCTGTTCAGAAAAATGTATTAAAATACAAACGTCGTAACATGAGAATGTGAGATTCAATACAAAACATCAGCATTTTCACAATAAGAGCACCCAGTTTTATTAAGGTCTTTGAGTGTCTGTTGCCATCATGACAATCCTAAACAAAATATTCAGTGATATTCCTTCAAATCAATACTGATAGTGTAGTTTGCGCAGACACACTGAGGATTATCCAGTGTACAGAAGTCTGAATCATCCACATTATTTCATACGCTTCCAGAAACACGTTTACTACACGAATGTCCAGCGTTTGCTAAAACTGTTCAACTCTTTAGATGATTCCTTTCTTACAACATCTCCAACTATGACAGCTTCTCATTACTCACCATTTCTTAATCTTACTAAATACTTGACTTGATGTCACTCTGTGGACTCTGGGGTCATGTGCAGCATGAGCAGGTCGGCCCCCCGTCGGACCAACACATTTAAGCTTTCGCTGGTCCTCACAGCATTATATATCTCCTCCGACGTGTTCACCTTTACCCCATTGATCTCAATAATAACATCTCCTGGCTTCATTCCGGCTCTGCAAAACAGAAAACAGGAAATGACATCATCAAAGGATGCCTTAATCAACAGCTCATAACATCATGTTCAGAGAGCAGCACACCTGTTGCCTGGAGATCCTGCAATCACACGGTGGATGAGAACTCCATGAGAAACATCAGGGAAGGACGGGTCTCGCATCCTTAGCTCTTCGATTATACTGAGGAGGGGAAAAAGAGAATTTAAAGATAATAAAAGACTCACTTCAGTGCAAAGTTTACGGTTTAAGGATTGATTGATAAATAGATAAGATAGATAGATTCATAGATAGATTGATTGATTAATTGATAGTTTAATAGACAGATCAGCAAAACAATCAATATTACATTTGCTTCAACCAAAAACACTTCAATGTCTGCGGTTTAATTACTCTTGCTAATAACATAGTAAAAACATCTGAAAAGCATTATTCCCATAATACATTTGTTTTTCAGTTGTTTTTTTCTGTCACTGCAACACAGAAAGGCACTTACCAAATCCATAGAGACAGGACAATCAACGCGAACTGGAACTGCATCTTTTTTTAAAAGAAGACGATGAGCAAATCTGGATTTCACCATTTCCAGATGCGAAAAGCTCTCGGGTAAAAATGTTCCTCACAAACATTTTTGTTGCGTGTTAGAAGACCACTGTAGTCCACAAATGTGGGTCCTTTCTCACTGCGGGAGAATGAAAACAAAACCTTTGTTGTGGCACGTTTATAAACAACACTGACGACCCATGTCTCCGAACAATTCTTCTTCTTCCACTTGTTTTATTTACGGTTAGCAACACAACGTCGCGTCTCTCTGAATACTGTAACAGGTAGTTTTTGAAGCTATCATGTATATCAATAAAGTTGCACCTCATTCACAATAGAGAGCGCACTGATTAGTTCGTCTTTCTCTTGAATTAATGATGAAAGCTCAAAGACGTCACATTGTACCCGCCGGTACAGACAGCCAGTCTCCATGCTGGAATTTACACAAGGAGCTCATGGCCTTGACGTAGCTTCAAAATTTCTTTTCAAACCGGAAGAACGAATTTGTTCGAAATAACGCAAAAACAACCAATTTTCACTTTTATTGTGAAATATATGTATCCTAATAGTGTTTTTAGCAGCGTGGGACATATATATGACTGTAAACATCTCAAAAATGTGTTTTGGTGTTTTTGGACCCTTTAAACCAAAAGGCAGAAGCAGTTTTTTGAGTAAATGTCAGCGACTCACCAGGTTTATGAGAGGCCCTCCTGAATTTCCAAACTGTAAAGCAGAATTGTGATTGAGTGATGGAATGCAATTCATTAAATGATGACATACATTTTTTTTTGCATGCAACACCACCCAGTTTCCAGTGCTCTTACATCTATGGTAGCGTCCGTCTGGATGTAGTCCATGTTGGAGTTGGAGAGACCCAGTTCTTTACTGCCTCTCTGAGCAGAGCTGACGATTCCAGATGTGATGGTGTTTTTAAGAGAAAAGGGGCTCCCCATGGCAACCCCAAATTCACCTTGACGCACATCAGATGACTTGCCAAGACGCAACGTTGGTAAAGGATTCTGGGACAAGACAGAGAACACAATGACACTATGTCAGACTATATGGCCATGTACTAGAACTGTGGTAAAAGAAAACAGTCAAAAATCAATTGCAAAAATGGCGTTCCAAACATTAAAGCCTCCTCTGTTACTGTTCGTTTACCTAAAATTGTTGACTATAATATTCTGTAGTTGCTGTAATATTACTGCGTTTAAAAATCTGAGGATACAAAACCAAATGTCACTAAGGTTATCACAATTTCGAGTTTATTTCCATATTTGTATGCGGCGGTTCCTCCTGAAATATTACAGCGTGTATGTAGCCTAAATACAGTATAATCAGATTAATGGGTTAACACCAGGGCTTGACATTAACACCCACCAACCGCAGGTAGACTTTAGCTGTGGCGGATTAGACAGCCACTCCCACTAGTCACTTTGGCTGGTCGAAAATCATTTTTAAATTGTATTTTTTTTAAAAGTAGGGTTCGACAATAAGGATGAACCTCTATAAATGAGAAGCAGCTCGACTGACAAAAACAACTGTGTTCACGCAAGCAAAAGAAAGCAGATGAATACAGAATGTTAAGTGATGCGCGCAATTTTTTAAAAGCGTGCACGATCCCATTTCCTTGCGTGAAGCAACCTTGACTGGAAACACAATGCTGCTATCGGTTCTGTTTGAAATAGACTTCACAAAAAGCGATACACATCCACCATTTTCAAGAGCTCGAGATTTAAAAAAAGAAGGTATTTTATGTATGCAGCAGCAGTTGCAGCTTCAGCTTTAAACAATCTTTGAACAGATTATTAATGGGCCTAACGTTAACTGTGTGCGTTTGATCATCCTTTTATTATTGCACACGGTATGTTTTTCACCTGCTTTCTTTTTGTTAATATGGTTTAATTATCATTCTTTTCAGTAACATTGATTTAATAGATTAAATTTAATGTATAGTTAACTGCTGATCTGAGACCTTGGTCTTGGAGCTAGGACAGACTACTTTTCATAGTTTTAGACAGGCTACATGACAATAATTGTTAGTTTAGTTTTATTTAATAAAAAGTGTTTGCATATTATAACATATATTTCGCTAGTTTTTGAAATTTTAAAATTATTTAACATTTTTGGCTAAGAAATACTTATTAATTAATTTATTTATTTATTTTCCAGTGTGGTCAGAGAAAAAATTGGTACAACCTTAATGTTGAGCCCTGAAATAACTACAAAGCAACACCATGAAACCACTACCACTCATGCTCATTGAGCAATGTCATACACAACACATCTAAATCAAGTAATTTTGCAAATATATTTTCCCAACAACAAAAGTGAAAATGGCGAGTGGCTAGTAAAGTTGAAAAACTACTAGCCATATAGGCTGGTGATCAAAAAAGTTAATGTAGAGCCATTAAAAACATTGAAAATCATATTGACCTCACACTTTTAATGTACTAACAGTGACACAATTTTGATTCTATAGGTTCAATTCTTAAGTGAACAAAGTTCAAAAAGAAATTACTCATTTGATAAAGACCTTTTACTAAAAATGTAAATTAATAAAATAAAATGAGTCCTTGTTCTTACCATATTAAACTATGACTCAATAAAAATAATGATGCACCGATACCATCTTTTTGGAACTGATTCGATTTCGATCCCAAAATTCTGAGTATCGACCAATACAGATCCGATCCTGATACTGTGCCATTTTTTAAAGCATAATACAGTTTCTATGGTGATGTGGTCCAGCTTATGTTTCCTTTTTTAATAGTAAGATTTTTCTTTGAACTCTGCAACAGGCTACCACTATTGACCCTAATCAAAACACAAACTGGTCTGTTAAATAAACTATTGATATAAATAAAATTACAGTCAAATATTCACAGTTTTCAAAGCAGCCGGTACTAGGCTAAATAATTTTCTGTTAATGAAAATCTATATTGTGATTGTCAGTTTCACTTTTATTAATTTAATCAACAACTTTGACCACAATGAGCCAGGCTTACAAACTACCCTAAAAGTATTCCCCTCGAAAGAATAAACTCAGTCGGAAGGATGAGAAAACAGAAACTTTTAATGTTAAAGAATAATTTTACAGAGCGGCACACGTCACATCAGCCGGTGTGTGAATGAAGTGCTTGATGCATCACTGCCCTGTGTGCCCGTCCGCTACGCCACTGACCGTCCAACAGATGGCCTACAGTACATTAGTTCTTCATTTTACAAAACGCAAAAGCACCCCTTGTCCCTCCTCGCTTCCTGTAGTTGCCGCTCTGACAGCGCGCTGCGCGGGTTTGTGTTTCGCGGGAGCAGGCGGATGACAATAACATCATATTATTTACTTCTTCCACGGGTACATTACTGTCATCATTTCAACTGAAAAATGAGTTTATGGGTGGACAAATACCGACCGACGTCCTTGGCTAAACTGGACTACCACAAGGAGCAAGCTAACCAGCTCAAAAATCTGGTAAAACGACAGACACTGTCAGGATGTTGGTTGTGTTTAACGTTTACATTTATGCCAGACCAAAATCAAATTAAATAACTGTTTTTATTGTTATTTTGACAACGTGTGAATCATTATACAATATGTCTTGTTGAAGAAGGTTGTTAAAATTTCTAACGTTTGCAACTCTATCAGCATATAAACTTAGCTGAAACCGTGACAACTTGTGTACTTCACATGCTGAATTAATAATGCTAACAAAACGTGTAAGGAGATAATAAGCTCTTATTGTTGAATTTTTCTAGGTTCAGTGTGGCGATTTTCCTCATTTGTTGGTTTATGGACCCTCTGGAGCTGGCAAGAAAACTCGGATCATGTGTTTGCTTCGAGAGCTTTATGGAGCCGGGGTGGAGAAACTCAGGATTGAACATCAGTCTATCACGGTATTTTTAAGAAAGAAAGCTGCTTAAAGGGATAGTTCACCCAACAATGAACATTTCCTTACCATTTACATAAACTCATTTGGTTCTAAACTTGAACGTCTTTCACAAAACACAAAATAAGATATTTTGAAGAATGTTGTGGAAAAAGCAGCCATTGACCTTCATATTAGGGCTGCACTATATTGAAAAAATCTGATAGTTATGTTTTATTTTACTGCGAAAAATATTGTAATACAGTTTCACAAGATTGTTTGAATTGCACTATTTGATTTTTGGATGTCTAACAGTATTCAATGCAAAAAATTGAATAATCCTAATGCAAAAAATGCTTTTAAAATATCAAGTAAAATATTATTTTGTTTTCACCTAGTTTTTCCTTCAAACAAGCAAAAATATCTGCCAATGGTGAAAGTAAAATTTTCTTTTTTCTTTGAAATGTAGATATTTGGACTAGAAACAAGACAAAAGTTCTAAGAAAAACTTTTTTTGTTGTATAAATTTCGTATAATTGATTAAATACTATAACCAGTGGTCACCAAACTTGTTCCTGGAGGGCCGGTGTCCTGGAGATTTTAGCTCCAACCCTAATCAAACACACCTGAACAAGCTAATCAAGGTCTTACTAGGTATACTTCAACCATCCAGGCAGGTGTGTTGAGGCAAGTTGGTGCTAAACCCTGCAGGGACACCGGCCCTCCAGGAAGGAGATTGGTGACCCCTGCTCTAAACTCTTGAAATGTTCAGTCACAGGCCTTAAAATACATGCAAATGATAAACCTCCACTTTATCATAGTTAAACTAAGCAGTGAATCTACAAATCACATGTGTTCTGTAGCTCCTGGTCAACTATAATCCAGACTCAGCATTGCATATCTTGCAATGTGACTATGTACAAATTGCATTATCAATGCTGAAATTATATACAGGGCAGCCCTACTTCATATGAACAAAAACATACTATGGAAGGTCAAATGCTGATTTTTCCTGCAACGTTTTTTTAGTATATCTTGGTGTTCAACAGAAGAAACAAACTAAAACAGGTTGATTTCATTTTGGGGTGAAGTTATAAGTCTAATTATGCAATATAGTAATATACCATTTGTCTCCCGTAGACTCCATCAAAAAAGAAGCTTGAAATCAACACTATTGCCAGCAACTACCATCTAGAGGTGAATCCAAGGTAATGAAGATTATTCTTGTGTACATTAGTAACAATGTACTATAAAGGGAGGTTTTCTTTTATAAGGTTTCTTTAGACTACAAGGTTGATAGATTTTCAGTCAACAGCTGCAGTTGTGTAAAGAGATAAAATGCATAAATGAGCCCATACGTATTGAAAGATGGTGTAGTGTAAATGCCTCCAGTATGTTTCCTCGGGCCTGTTTTCATATAAGGTATGTTTACATGACAACACTGTACCTAAAAAACTGTACCAAAGACAATTTGTCAAAAAAATATGTACAGATGCCATTTATACATATTAGTAGTTGTAATTTTGTAAAGATATACATGGCTGCATACATATGGTCCTGTAGATCAGGGGTTTCCAAACTTTTCAGCCTGCTACCCCCAAACTAGCAATGCCAGTGAGGTGGTTCTAGTTATATAATCCTTGCACACACATCAATAGGCCTAAGTCTATTCAACGTTTAATTTTGGAGAACGCCACTTGGAGACCGTCGTTCATGTCCAGATGTTGCCTGTGTTCATTTTTAATGTACGCGAGTACAGTAAAGGTGTCGGAAAGTTTGACCCAGTGACATAAAGTCAATGTGCTGCAACTGACACTATTGCTGTGTCTTTAAAATATTGTAATCACCCCAGGGGTCGCCAAAAAAAAAAAAAAGGAAATCGAAAGGCTGATGGCTTTTTATTTGCATGTTGTTTTTTTAATGTTTATTATTTTAATGTTAACAGTGTAACTATTAACTACTTTTTGTTCTTCTGTAGGTTATGAATAAAATATGGTGATTTAAATAGTTTAATAAAATGAATTAGATTTTTGGACATCGCCATGCGACCCCTCCTCATTGTCTTGCGACCCCCACTTTGGGAACCACTGCTGTAGACCACAGGTTCCCAAAC